AAAAAAAAATCTCATAAGGACAAACTAACTTTTTTAAAGCAATTTTCTGACATGTATAATCTTATCTCCTACAAAAACCTGATCAGTATTTTTAAAACTGTCATCTGAAAAAGGAAATTTAATAAAGTTCAGTGAAAATCTTTGCTTAGTGGACAAAATGGAAAAATATTTGTTTTCTTTTCAGAATTATGTAAAAAAGATTTGTGATATATCTTTTTTATCAGTAATCAAAACCATAAAACAAAATACCTAAATAAATTAATTTTAGAATCAGATTTTAAAATCAACATATCACAAAATATTCAACCAAGATCAAAATTAATAATAATGACACATATTTATACTAATGTAGTATAGTGAATTTACTTGATACTGCTTTTCTATTCAGTCTTCTTTGTTGTTGTTAAGTGCAGTTGAGTCAGTTCTGACTTTTAGCAACCCTTCACAGGCTTTCCTGGGTACACTTGGGTTTGAATCACCAACCCATGAAATGATTGGGTGGAATCTTGAAAATAGGACTCTAACGATGGATTGGTTAGTTTTGCCAACCCATTAGGTTTAAAATGAGCCATCTCAGAAGCAGGAACATTCGACCCCATGTCCATCAAGAAAGAACCCTGAGCAGAGCATGAGGGGCAGGCAGACACTGCAGCATGGAGAGACAGAGTGGGCCCAGGGACCAAATAAAGCAGAGTGCCTACAAACAGGAGGCTGGATTGCAGAATGTGGCCTTTGGCATTTACAGTCTGGCTAAAGGAGCAGAGTAGAGACCAAGAGTCACATGGCTGAGAGGCTAAAGGTTTAAGTGAAGCATGCCTGCAGCAGGGCAGACAAAAAGAGCTCCTGACTGCATCGTGTTGCTTCCTGAATTGTTTCTAATTGGAATAGTACCTTGCTTAATTTACAAACTTCACTTGAGTAGTGTCTGTTGAGTTCTGTGTAGTTATTGCAACAGATTATGATGCCCAAATGTGAAACAGAGAGTGCTATAGTGACCCTATGCACAACAGAAACAAACACTGCCTGGTCCTGGGCCAACCTCACAATTGTTGCTATACCTGAGCCCATTGCTGCTGCCATTGTGCCAATCCATCTCATTGGGGTTCTTTCCTCTTTTGCTACAACCTTCTACTTTATCAAACATAATATACTTCTCCAAGAACTAGTCCCTCCTTATATGTCCTGTTGTCGTGTTGTTGTTAGGTGCCATCGAGTCAGTACTGACTCATAGCAACCTTATGCACAGCAGAACAAAACACTGTCCAATCCTGAGCCAACTGTTGCCATGCTTGAGTCTATCGATGCTGCCACTTGGCCGATTCATCTCGTTGGGAT